AGGACACTGTCCATCTCCAGCCGAGCTCCTGCCACTTCTTGCTGGCTCGGGCTGTAGGTTCCCTCTGATTGGCGCCTCTTCCTTGCAGTGAGAATCATGAATATGAGCCCAATACTGAGCAGCAGCAAAGAGCCACAGGCTACGGGGACAGCTACTTCAATTAGTGGGGAGGGGAAGAGAGCACCTGGAGTCCCTTTCTGTAAAAGAAATCAATGCAGAAACAATGAAACTCCATCGGTTACAATAACTTAAAGAACCCAAAATGGTCAGATTAGCGGGCAAATGTCTTGCAGAAACAGGACAAGCAAGGAATGAGTACAGGGCTTGAGGGCACCTGCACAGAGGATGCTCGTGGGCATTCCTTAATCTCAGCAAAACACACTCATTTTTTTAAAAAATGGACTGTTTTTAACACAGAGAACAGAGAGTAACACGTTGTGAATTATTCTTGCCAATTCAAAACCAGTGACACTCATCAACGCCACGCTGACTGGCAGCCCGGGTGAAGCTGAGCTCATCAAGGCAGAGTTATCAACAGGGATTTGTTAATACCACCACAATAACTCATGCAGGGCCCGCAGACAGAAGCAGCCCAAGGAAGCACAGGGAGGATTCACCGCGCGGGGCGGGCTGGAGGGAGCCAAGGAGCCAGGGCAGACAGTTCACAGGAGCTGTTCCTGGTGCAAGCTGTCCCTCCCACACCTCCTCTGCCCAGGACAGCGCTGGGCGGGGTGGTCCCGTTAGAGCAGCAGCAGTGTGGAGTCTGAGCAACACTTCAGACACTAGGAGATGAGCCAAAACTGTCCAAACAGGACCACATGCTCTGCATTCTCCTCTCAGCTTTTCACAGCAGGACACTCCCTTAAGATTTAAACGCCAGTGCATTCAGCACCCACAGTGGAAATCTTTTCAGGGCCTCCTTACCCGTATCAGACTGAAACACTTGGGTGTCGCTGGGCTAGAGTGAGCCAATGTTGAAAAAAACAAAAACAAACCCCAATTAAACTATTAAGTTAACACAGAATAATGTGAACTTTCAGTAACCCCAGAAAATTTCCCTGAGCAGAGGAATGATACTAAAACAAAGTCCAATGGTGCCTCTGATGGCAGGGTGGAGAATTTATTTTTCTATTCAACCACCCATCACAACAAGATTGTCCTCAGCCCTGTGACTCAGCTCTTCCATGACTATCTCTGGGACAGGCAAGTTCCAGGCTTAGCAGTTAAACCTCAAAGCCAGAGGGAAGAGCAGGATACAAAACCAAGAGCTGACATCTTGCAGGACCTTTATGACCGTCTAGGCTGAACGAGCTTAAATAATTGAAATAGGAAATGGTGAGTACTAGATCCTTTCAATTCATAGCTCAAAACTTTTAAATGACAAAGGGACAAGCCCTCATGCCCACACAGGATCAAACTAACTGCTGTGGAACAGACTCAAAGACAGCTTGCAGCAGGAAGGGGAGGACGTTAGAAAGGTCTGGAGATGGAGGGGACATAAGACCCAAGCACTGAGAAGAGACACGTAACTCAATGAGTACGCCTTGGATTCTGGTGGAATTGATGGTATGGAACAAAACAACAAAGAATGAAAAAACGCTGTGGAATTTTTGTCATTGCCACCTCCCAGATAAAACCAAAAGACTTCAGGCTTGATTCCTTACAGCTTTTGGACCCCGTACGGTCTGTGCCGCTGCCACAAAGCCCCTCCGCACAGCCGGGGCGTGCCCAGGGTACCAGAGCCCTCCTGCTGCTTTCCAGGGCCCGAAGCCCCAGCAGCTTCTCAGCGTGCCCAGCGCCGTGCCGGGGCCGCCCAGCGTGCGGGTGGGTCGTGCAGTGGCGGTGCCGGCCCCCAGGGGGTTCCCCAGCCCACCCTCCCCCT